TGGTGAGAAATGCCTATGCTTTTATTTAAAACACATGCTGCCAACAATGTATACTTAGTAAATCTTTCAGAAGATTGTAGTGTCAGGCTACGATAAAAAATGTTATCTCTACTTAAAAGGCACTAAGTGTAAAAACAGTATCTTAAAATGAGATTTGGATATATCAGAGACTTTCTGTCACTTGCTAGGAAGGGCTCATTGGGTAGCAAGTGTGTTTCCTTAATTGCAATCTCTCTAGAATCATTTTGCTTGAATGATAGTCTGTAGAGCATGCAGATTTTGCCAATTATAGCATCTTGTGAGAAATGGGGGTTTTTTGGGGTAATGTTTCACATTAATCCTTACATCATTATTTGATTATGAATGGAAAATTGAAATGAGCAGGTAGATAACTTAGTTGACAATAGCCTGATATTTCAAGAGAATAAATACTTACCTCCCCGGCACAATTTGAAAGGCTACACTGTGCTTTAGTGTTGGAACTAGAAAAGTTAGGTTGCCTTTATTTGGTAAACAAATAAAAATAGCAGTATTTACAGGCTACATACAATACAAAATTTCCAGATTAAAACCTCTCCCATAGTCCAATACAAAAATGATGCAACCACATGTAAAATCTGTCCTTTTTATTATTGGCAAAAAGGATGTTAATTGAGACCATCTTTAGAAGATTATAACTTTTCAAGATTTGAAACCATGCTTATAATACTCTGTAAAATTATTTTCAGTTTTTTAAAACATTACCAATATTTTATGCTTTTAAAGATAGACATCTTTAAAACATAAAGTGATAATATTAAGTTTGAAGTTTTTGGCCTAGATTGTTTTCTCCGTATTAAGAATTAAAATAAGCAAAAATTTCAAAAAATTTAAAAGAGAAAACTGAGTAGATTCTGGTAGATTTAAAAAGATAGGCCTTTAAATATAAGCATTCATTTCTATCTGTAAGTCAAATTTCAATACAATTGTATAAAATGTATGAAATGGATTTTACTTTTAGTTTATAAATGAGGGTTTTAAAAGGACAGTGATAATCACTAATTTTTATCATCTAGCAATTAGAAATTCGAAAACAACAAGGAAGCAATTGGATTTCTAATATCATTCCATATTTTAAAATAAGAGACTGATTTTAAAATAAGAACAGAAAAATTGAAACTATTTTATTTTGCCTCATCTACTTCCAACTGCCTAAGGCTAGGATCTCGATGCGGTGTGATCAAACAATACGGTGAATGTCTAAATTAAAAAAATATATTACAGTAGAAGACTTGCCATTAATTCCCCTCGCTTCGAACACACTTATCCCATCATTCTTGCCACTTTCTGAAGCAGTTCTGGAAGTCCTCTTTTGTGAGTGTCTTTAGTTGCGCTGTCATGGCTGCCTCATTGTCCTGAATTTTTTTGACTTTGGGGAAGAGCCAGAAGTCGCATGGTGCCAGATCCAGTGAATAAGGTGGATGAGGACACACCCTATTGTTTTTATTGGACAGAAATTGCCATATCCCAGAAGCGATGTGTGACACAGTGTTGTCATGATGGAGGATGATCTATGACACGCTTTAAAACACTCCTTCTCTCATCCAAAGCTCACACTTGACTGCTGTTACTAAGGTTCAGTGTGCCGCTTCCTGTATTGAAGATCCCTGCCTTTCTGTTGGACAGCACTCAGCAGCAGCATTCACCGTATTTTTTTATCACACCTCGTATTAAACACATTCCAAAGCTTTTGCCAGTTATAGGGAATCTTTCATCATGGCACATACGGCAAGTGATGTTTTGGTTGGTTGCTGTCCAACGTCCACTTGATTTCAAGCTTAATAAGAACCAGCTGGCATGTGGCTAATATAAAAGCCTGTAAAATTTATGATCAACTTGAAATGTAGCATCCAAATGAAGAGAATCATTAATCCTACCATATTCTATATCATTTCTAAACTGTGTTTAAACTTCAAGGTGAATACAGACACACCACATAGTCAGGATGTATAAATGCTGTTAGAAAGATGTGAGGAAGGTGTTATCAGGATATTTAAAGTTTTGGCAACTGTGACAAAGAAAAAAGGGTAAATTTGTATGAGTAACTTGGAAAATCAAGACTGAAAAGAAGGAATACATGTTTTATCAATAGTTCACTGGCACTTTTAGATAATTTGAGCAGCTGGTAATAGCAATGGTAAAATGGGCTCTTCAAAATATAGTTAGTGGCCCACTGATGAATATAGTTAGTGTCCGAGTGACTGTCTTGCAGAGAAGCTGTTGTGTTTCCTGTGAATGGTTGGTGGTTGGGATGGTTCAAATATAGCACAAGGTTGCTAGGGGATGTTAGCGTGAAAGTGGTGATTGCGTTTGCAAGATGGAGATCTTGACACTATGAATATTAATTTGTTTCCCTTGTTCTTCTGGTGTATCCCCAATGCACTGAGCATTAGAGTACCCTATTTCAAAGACAAAGCCACTGCTCCAGATAGCTGTTTTTTAATATGGTTTAAAAAAATTATATATATATATATATATATATATATATATATGTTATTTGGAATCACTGAGGAGTAACCACCAACAGCCATAAACAAAAAAGGGTGTTTACCATTGAAAGACAAACTGCAGAGGCTGAGAAATGCACGTTTATAACCTTTTACTTTTTAAGACACTCTCCAGATTATTTTGGACGCAGCCTGCTTAATGAGGCACAAGAGGATAGCCCAGAAGTTAGGAGACAATTCTAGAAAGATGAAAGTCACAGTTATGAAATCCAATCCCCTCACCTGCATATAAAATTTCCCCCCATCCTGACTGAGTGAAATCATGCAGACCCACTGGTCCCAGGGGAGCAGGAAGCAGTGGCCAGAAGCTAAAAGCACTGAGCAATTTTATGCTGTGGACTACCACTGGGAGGACAAGAGTTTGGGTTTGCTTTCAGCCACACTCACTGCCTGCTAGAATGAATCTTCACAGGAATACAACAAGATTCAGAATCTCTATAACATTAAACATATCTGATGTTTAATAAAATATCACTAGATATGGGAAGACAAGGAAAAATGGGACCCACAGTCAATGAAAAAAAAAGCACTCAGTAGAAATTCACTCTGAGATATCCTAGATGTCACAGTTACTAGAAAAGGACCTTAAATAAGCTATTGTAAATATTTTCAAGGACTTAAGGAAAACTAAATGCGTAATGACTGCACAGATAGTGCAGAGAAATAAAAGCTAGGAATTAAGAACCCAAATGAAAATTCTAGAGCTGAAAGTATAGGAGTGAAATATTAATTGGATAGCTTTAAAAGCAGATTGGGTATGGCATTAGGAGTAGTCAGTGAATTTAAAGGTAAATCAATAAAAATTATATAATCTGAAAAACATAGAATGTAGCTTGAAGAAAATGATTAGAGCTCTGACGATGTAGGGGACAGTAACAAAGTCAGTATATGTGATATCAAGTCAACCATTTATATGAAGTTAACCTTTGCTATAAAAGAAAATCTTTTCATATTTGATAAATAGGTAACATTTTCTTTATATGCCAAATTCTGTTTGTAATTCTGTTTGAATTATGTTTGTAATTCAAGCACTTACAAAAGAATGCAAGTTCTGATAAATTGGGCTAAAGTTATATTCTGATTTATTCTGCCTTGTAGTTTTTTGAAGTCTTCATAAATAGTTCCAAAATTGTCAAGACATGACAATTGGAAGTAAAGGAAAATAAAGGATTAAATTCAAGGAACGTGTTTGTCATTAACTGGGACCCAGAAATGGGAGAGCTAGTTCATTGAAGATATACCCTGAGATCTCACTCACCGAATTTTCTTTTACTTTGTATGTCTACCACTCCTTGACCCCCCTTATTCTGAGCCTGCAGACCTGTCAGATCCTCTGATGCCTCCAATTCAGTAAAGGGACACGGACGCTGAGCTAGAGCCATGGGTTATGTCGGTCCTTCCTAGTTTTCTAGTAGTTTTACTTTACAGAGAAATACTAAATGTGGACTACTTTTTATCCACTTGGAAATCCCATTTTTCTCTTAGCCTGTCTTTCAGACATATTTGTGGATCATTACAGGAGGAGAAAGGAGTAGAGCGTAATGGTTATGTGCAGCCGTCTGACATTGCCTGGAAGCATGAGTCCATTATCATCAGTTAATGGTCCCTGGGTTGGCTTCATAAGTCTGTGTACCCCAGTTTCTGCATCTTATAGATGGAGATGTTATCCACCTCAGAGCCACCTGCGAATCAAGTGAAATCTTCCTTGTATGGTGCTTTGCACAAAGTAGCCATGCAGTAACACTGACTTACGTTGTAGGGAACCATTGTCACTCATATCTCTAGTACTAATTTTTCTAGTACTTACTGAGAATCAACTGTAACTTTAAATATATAAACTAAAGGAAAATTTCTCTGTCTGGAAATTATAGACCAATTGAAGTCGTTCTTTGAAGTACAGGGAATGAGTATAGGCAAGGAGACATTTTAGAATATGTAGTTTAGTTTATTTTGCCAATGATTGACACAGTTCCTGTTCCTATATAGGCAGTGAGGGGAGGGAGAATATTAGTGTAATTTCACCTCACTATATCCATGTCACAAAGAATGAGAGGAAAAGTAAAGGAGATTGTTAATAAAAAATCACAATTTAAAACTTATATGGTAATTCTAGATTTGATATGCAAAAAATGATGCACACTTTTGAGTTTAAAGAATGGGGTTTTTAGGGGTTTTTTTAAATCTACTTTTAAACCTGCAGGGCCTAACAGAATCATATTTTCTATTTTTCTTAAAAATAATGTTTGCAATCAACAAGGATAGGGTGATATGAAGAACATATAGCAGAAACAAACTCCCATACTCAACAGCATTCCATACTCTTTGTAAGTTGCAAATCATTTATTGGAAATAGAAATAGCTCATAATCTATTGTAATGTCCACATCAGTTTAATTCTGTATCTTCCAAATATGTTCTTCTTTATTCAGAAGACTAACAGACTGTGCCCTTGTAGGTCCAGGATAAATTCCGACTAGACCTGTCGGATGAAGAGGCGGTGCATTACATGCAGAGTCTGATCGATGAAAGTGTCCACGCTCTGTTCGCTGCCGTGGTAGAACAGATTCACAAGTTCGCCCAGGTAAGTTCGCTGGGGGCAGTGCCGTTACCGCAGCTTCTTCACGTTCCCCAGAGTCCTCAGAGAGCTACACTTTTCTCCTGCCAACTGGTGTCTTTTCTGGGGTTTTTTTGGTCAAGCCTTTTATTACATCTCACCAGCCAGCTGATCTGAATATGGTCCATGAACGATTAACTCTAAAACATTCCACTTGAATTTTCTTAGTGGAATGTGAAATTGTGTAGTCAGTTGGGAGCGAGTGCCAACACAGGCGTATCTGTCCTTTGTAGTCAGTGGTGATTATAAACCCCTCTTGAGACTGATTTGGGATCTAGCAGAAGCCTTGGCAAGTGAAACTTCAACACTTGTTGGTTTTGGGGAATGGTGACGTGCTGGGAAAGGAGTTTCGAAGTGGAGAAAAGCTGAAAAGGTCTATCCGTAGACTGCCTGTTAGCAGAATCTCTCATACAAATGTCTCGGGGAAAACCTTTTCACACTAGGCGTTGATGGTAAACTCAGATTTAAAACCTACTTTAGTTACGAATTCCATAATGAGGATGGTTATAAAAATGGTTAGCAAACAGAAAAACGTGGCCGCTTTCCTCTCCCACACCTTCCCATGCCTTCCTGACTTTACACATTCGGTTAAGTTCAGCTAGCAATACTTTCACTAGCTACCCAAGCCCAAAGCCCATCTGCTTTGACTTCTCCCTCACCCGGTATCCACTATGTCATCAAGCCTTGTTGGTTTCTTTAACCATTTCTTTAATTATCCTTTTCTATCATTTTCTGACTAGTAACGTTTTAATCTACAGTCAGTCAGTCCCCGGTTTATGAGGGTTCAGCTTAAGATATTTCAACTTTACCATGGTGTGAAAGCTGCACTCATTCAGTAGAAACCGTACTTTGAATTTTGAATTTTGATCGTCCCCTGGGCCAGCGGCCTCTCACCGTGCTGTGCTCTAGCCCGAGCAGCCGCTCCACTGCATGGCCGCTGGCTTCCAAGAGGAGGGGACGGGAAAGCAGAGGCAGCCGTTCTCTTAAAGCAAGCCACAAGGCCAGGCCAGAGTCACCGGACGAAGACACACGTTCTGCCTCTTGATGGGAGGAGAGGGATGCAGAGGGGAGAGGACTTAAGTGTGTCAGCTTTGAAGACTTCACTGCCACTCACCTAACACGCCCCAGCTAAAGGTCTGAGTTTCAAGTTCTGTAAAACGAACTCGTGGCGCACTTTATGTTACTGGTCTAGTTTTGAACTTCTGTTATCAATTTGCATAAGATGTTTGCAAATGTTGCTTTTTTAGCTGAATCTAAGACTAGAATGACGATTTTTCTTATTTCTCTGTATTAACAGTAGAGGAGAGGAAGAGCCTGATGAAAGGGGACCGTGCTATGATTTGGGGGAGTAGTAATAGAGGGACCTTGGTTCACCAGTGTCTCTGGATCTCAGTTTGCACATCTATAGTGATTGATATTGAGGGTAAAAACTAACATAAATTTATTCTAATGTCAGAGATATACAAAATTTAATTGCTTTCCATATACAAAGCTAATATTGACTACCGCAAAGACTAAATGAATGAAATCCCACCCCCTGCCCCAGTAGTTAAACTGTGAAGGGTGTTCAGAACTAAGAGTCATTGCTGTGTAGCACGCACAGAGAAAGTATGAATGTGGGTGATCAATTGATTACAGAGATGGGCACACTCTTAAATTAGACACGAGAAGGGTCATTTTATACCCATTAACTAGTAGATGGTTATATTTTGGGGGAAAGAAACATTAAGTCTGTTTCCTGGATTTCTATTTTCCAGTTCTTCAGTAAAATAGTAGATAAGATGTAGAAATCCTGGATAACTTGTTATTTAGAATTACTTTGGCCGTGGTTACAGATTTTTTTGGACTAGGAGATAGTCTTAATAACAAAATAGCATAGAAAAACAAGGCAATAGCGACATGAAAATAAAAATTCAGAGCAAATACCTGGATGATTCCAGCAACCTCAGGACTGGTCAAAGTAGAGGCTTACACAGGGAAGCCTGGGTATTTACGCGGGTAAAATTTTACAGATTGTATTTCAGCTATCTCGTTTATAATGACAGATACAATATTTGGGATAGTACCTGGGACTGCAGCTTTACTTTATTTGAACTTTGTACTTCATTTAGTGCTTCCCCATTTTTTTTTTTTAATTGGGGAATTGGGGAAGGGGAACAGACAAGTTGCTGTCCTTTTGTTCTTCAGTCTAGTTGTGGAGGATGTTGCTTCACTGGCCCAAGTTGGCACC